GTGTCCCTATAAGAGAAAGAGACACCAGGGTCAGGCCACATGTGAACGCAGAAAGCAATGAGCTATCTACAAGACAAAAGCGAAAGTCTCACAGGGACCTCAAACTTGCTGACACTGACAGACCAAGACTGGCAAGGGCTCTGGAAGCAGCTGTTTGAGGAATGTCTGGTTCTCAGGCCAGGAAGGTCAGAGGGAATTCTGACCTCTCAGCTCCTAACATGAGCCCTGCCTGGAAGCTGAAGGAGGCAGAGATGAAGTGCCAGGCCAGACATCAATCCTTTCAGGGAAACATCTTTGGGAATGGCTCTCTGAATGTTCCTGGTGTCCACAAGTTAATACACCCTCAGTCTCAGACCATCTCCTTAATGATGCTAGAGTTACCTCTTCAAAGTAGGGAAGGTTACAATAACCTTGATGGAGGTTTGGTGTCTGAGCAAGGGTTTTACTGCTGTGAACAGACACCATGACCAAGGCAACTCTTACAAGGACAACATTTAACTGGGGCTGGCTTACAGGTTCAGAGGTACAGTCCATTATCTTCAAGATGGGAACACGGCAGCATCCAGGCAGGAATGGTGCAGGAGGAGCTGAGAGTTCTACATCTTCATCTGAAGGCTGCTAGCAGAATACTGGCTTCTAGGAAGCTAGGGTGAGGGTCTTAAGCCCACACCCACACCTACTCCAACAGGGCCACACCTCCTAATAGTGCCACTATTAGGGCCGAGAATAAATAAACCATCACATTTGATAAGCAACATTAAGGGAAAGCTATTTCCACCTGATCAAAAGAATGAAACCAACCTCTACCCTTGGGTGGAGATCTAACATTCCAAGGTACCCAAAATGTAAGAGTCAATCTAACTGCACTTGTCAATCACCTGGCCAGGAAACAGCATCTCTCTCGATGGCTGCCTTACTACAGAGCAGGGAGGGATAATTATCCCGTATGCAGATAATGCACTACCTTCCTGCAGAAACCTCACCCTCTGTGATGTCTCTGTGGGATGCCCTGAGGCTCTGTGAAGTCTCCCTGCTATTCTGAGTTCTTTTCCTCTTTGTATCTTTCTGTCAGACACTGAGTGGAACCTGAATACGCTTTCTCTGGCACTTTGGGCTTTCCCTTTGCTCTGTGGCTACTTGCTGATGGAAATAACTTAGAGGAGGAATTGGGTTTGTTTTTCTTACAGTTTCAGGGGCTCAGGCCTGTGTGTATTTGGCCTCATGCATGTAAGCAGAACACTGTGAGAAGAGGAACTTAAGAGTGCAAGAAACGAACATAGACCACAGAGCTGTACAGTTGTGAGCCTCGAGGTGAGTACTGGTGACTGTACCTGGGTTCTCCATAAGAGCAGTCAGTGTTCTTAACCACTGAGCCACCCCTCTAGCCTCATGCCTTTATCTTGAAGTATTTTCTTCTAGCAGTTTCAGAGTTATATTACTTGCATTGAGTTGATATATATTATGTATATATGTGTGTACATGTATGTATGTACATATGTATATATGTATATGAGTATGTATATGTGTGTATGTATATATGTGTACATATATATGTATATATATGTATATGCATATATGTATATATGTGCATATATGTGTATGCACGTACGTATGTGTGTATGTATGTACATATATGTATGTGTGTATATATACATATATGCATATATGTATATATGTGTGTGTATTATGTATATGTGTGTGTGTTATGTATATATGTATATATATGTATATATGTGTATGTATACACACTCACACACACACACATACATGGACAGATGGGGGTCTCATTTTTATCTTTTATAGGTGACTGTTGAGAGTTTGGGATGGACTGTTCCAGGCTTTGTAAACAGAGAAGCACGTCACTTGCAAGTAGTGAATGTTGACAGACTCTTTTCCTCTTTGCACATGTCTTGCTTTCTTTTGTGTTACTGTGTTATACTTAATTCTGCATTCTCCAGAACTCAGAGATAAACACCCATAGAAAAAGCAAGCTGCATCCCACGGTATTTCACTACGTAATATGTAGCCCTGGCTTTCCAGGCACTCCCTGTGTAGATCACCTCACAGAGCCATCTCACAGATCCACTTTGCTTTTCCAGCGCTGTGATTAAAGGTGTGTGTGTGTGTGTGTGTGTGTATGTGTGTGTGTGTTACCACATCTGGAATGGTATAACGTGTGGGGATTTTTTCCTCCAAAAACCCACCCCAGCTCATGTGGTAGCCTATGCCTTTAATCTCAGCACTGGGGAGGCTGGAGGTGAGTAGGTCCACCTCTGTGAATCATCATCTGTTTCAGTTCCACACCAGCCTGGTCTACATAGTGAGTTCTAGGGCAGCCAGAGCTACATGGTGAGACCCTGTCTCTAAAAAACTAGAACAACAACAACAACACAAACCCACTGCATTCGCCCCTCCTTTTCTTTCTTCCTTCCTCTTTCTTTCTTTCTTTGCTTCTTTCTTTCTTTCTTTGCTTCTTTCTTTCTTTCTTATGGTTTTTCTAGACATATAAGTGGACCACACCCAGTAGTTATGAAAGATGCACAAACAATATGAAGTGAAGAAAATATAAAACTCCAGTGTCTTTCTGGGAAGCCATCTCCTCTGAAAGTGGTAACAAGTTTCTACAGAAAAAAAGTAAAACTAGACAAAGATGATGATGATGATGATGGTGGTGATGATGATGGTAATGATGAAGAAACAAACTGAAGGGAAAACTCCAGTAAAGAATCTGTATGAGATGCTCCAGCAATAATAATAATGTACAGAAATCCAACAAGAATAGAAAAGACTTCAAAACCATCAACACAAGATCAAAAGGGCAACGATGCTTTAAAACATCAGATGCTCTAAAACCTAAGACACCAAAAAGACCTCTTTCTGCAGAAGACATTAAAGCAAAAATGCAAACAAGGTGCTTCTTGTCCCAAACTGGAAGCCACATTCGTTAACTGTGTGAAGAACTGCTTCTGGATAACTGAGCAGGAAGCTATTGGAGATCTCTGGTTGTGGAGGAAGAAAATGGTTTAAACAGTTGGTAACTGGCTGGAGAGATGGCTCAGTGGTTAAGAGCATATACTGTTCCTTCAGAGAACCAGAAATGGATTTCGGTTTTTTTTTTTTGTTTTTTGTTTTTTGAGACAGGGTTTCTCTGTGTAGCCCTGGCTGTCCTGGAACTCACTCTGTAGATCAGGCTGGCCTCAAACTCAGAAATCCGCCTGCCTCTGCCTCCCAAGTGCTGGGATTAAAGGCGTGTGCCACCACTGCCCGGCTTTCTTTTTAGATTTATTTACTTATTTTATATATGTGAATACACTGTTGCTCTCTTCAGAGACACCAGAAGAGGGCATCAGATCCCATTACAGATGGTTGTGAGCCACCATGTGATTGCTGGGAATTGAACTCAGGACCTCTGGAAAAGGAGTCAGTGCTCTTAACCACTGAGCGATCTCTCCAGCCCCCAGAGAAGGATTTCTAGCAACCACATCACGTGTCTGTAACTCTAGCTCCAGATCAAAGACTGTACATACTTACACATATTTAAAAATAGTTTTAGCTGGGCAGTGGTGGCACACACCTTTAATCCCACCACTTGGGAGGCAGAGGCAGGCGGATTTCTGAGTTTGAGGCCAGTCTGGTCTACAGAGTGAGTTCCAGGACAGCCAGGGCTACACAGAGAAACCCTGTCTTGAAAAAGAAAAAAAAAAGTTTTAAAAAAGTGAATCTTTCAAAAACAAAATGTTGCCATGTCTCTAAAATGTTCAGGAAGCAATTCATTGTAAAATTTGATTTGAAAGCAACAAAGAAACCAATCTTACTTCATTTCTGTAAGAACTGATCTCAGATACTCTTCCTATAATACGGAGTGAGACACCCCCCTACCCAGACCCTCCAACCCTCCACTCCCCACCTCCCAACCCCCAACACACACACTGTGTTTGATAGCTGTTGTCCAGGTTCCACTTCCAAGAACGAGCCGTCTAAACCCCGCTCATCTTTCAAGGGCAGACTCCACCCTTTACTTAGCTGTAAGTATGTACGGAATGTTTTGATAGGAGACAGAAATATTGATAGTCAGGCATGGAAACAGGGAAGACAAAAAAAATACACGAAACAAGCTAAGCATTTTAACATTTTCTTAAATACTGTTCTTCTTACTTGTGTTTGAGACAGGGCATCATGTAGCCCAGGCTGATCTCAGGTAGCCCAGGCTGATCTCAGACTCACTGCAGCCAAGAATGACTTTGAATCCCTAATCCTTCGGCCTTCACTTCCTAGGTTCTGAGATTACAAGCACGTGCCACCTTACTGGGTCTTCTGTGGTGCTGTGGATGGAGCCCAGGACTTCATGTATGCTAAGAGAAAAATTCTTGTGACTGAGCTACATCCCCAGGCCTGAATGTAATAATCTCATGACCATGTCAGCACATCCTCACCGGCACTGAGGAATACCATCAATACCGTCTCTACCTTTTAGTCTAGTTTTGTTTGTAGTCTAGGCTATCCTGAAACTTGCTCTGTAGACCGGGATAGCCTTGAACTCAGAGACCCGCCTGCCTCAGCCTTCCAAGTGTGGGGATTAAAGGCGTGTGCCACCACGCCTGACCAGTTTTAGACCAGTTTTGTCTGTAGTCTAGGCTATCCTGGAACTTGCTCTGTAGACCGGGATAGCCTTGAACTCAGAGACCTGCCTGCCTCAGCCTTCCAAGTGCGGGGATTAAAGGTGTGTGCCACCACGCCTGACCAGTTTTAAATGCTGACTGCTGTAGTAGGTCTGTTGTTTGGAGTCTGAATTTGCCTTCCCTGAGCTCTGGCTTCTGCTGCAGGGTTCTCCCGAAAGCCTTATGGCTGCGCCCGTAATCCTGGACCCCACCGCATGGGTGTGCTGCGACCTCTGGTTCCCGGATCGCACCGGGCCGGGGCGGTCCACTGGGGCAGGAGCGGGGCGGGGCGCGGAGCAAAGGTTGCCTCATAGCCCGGGCTCTTCTCCGCAGCTCCGCGGCATCATGACGGTGGGCTCCCGGCTCCGAAGCAAGGTGGCAAGCGGCTTGACCGGCCGAGGGCCCCTGGGGCGGTCGCGCCGCGCCGGTGACGAGGAGACAGAAGCCATCGTGGAGCACCTGGAGGGCGAGGACGAGGACCCGGCGAGCCCGGACTGTGAATGCGAAGAGGGCGGACGGCGCGCGGGGACCCCGAGCGCACGCAGGGTGCACTTGGCTGCGCTGCCCGAGCGCTATGACTCCCTGGAGGAGCCCACGCCAGGCGACAAGCCCAAGAAGAGGTACCGGCGAAAACTGAAGAAGTACGGCAAGGTAGGTCACCACGGCCCGGCCGCCCTGATCCAGAACGAACCAGGAGTCGTACTGGGTGGAGTTGTGCCCGCGTCCCCGCTGCTCCCGGGACCATCACTAGGAGGGTGTCGCTGAGCGCACAGGCTTAGGCGGGCAGGACCCTTGTTCCCAGTTGGAGCTGGTGGGGATGCTGAAGCCGTGGCGAGGTTAGTTAGTTAACTTGGAGCCCCGGACCCAGCTGCGAAGTTGCAGTCCAGCTCCATCTATTTCCCACACTCTCTCCGGGGCACCCCGCCACTGGAGCACGTTAGGTGATTTGGTCCTGGACCCTGGGGTTAACCCGCGGGGCCTGCTAACTCAGCCAGTACATACCTAGAACCTGTTGCCCCTCCTTCTCTAATCAACTGTCTCTGAACCTCGAAACTTCAGATATTCTGCCTGCCTTTTTACTTTGGTGGGAGAGCAAGAGGCAGGATGGATGGGATACGGAATGAGTTTGCAGGGTGAGCGGTTCTGGTTTCTAGGTGCCCCTGGCCGGGAACAGCAGAATTGCTCTCTTGACCTAGACAAGGCTAGGTGGGGTGGAGGGGAATCACGAAACTCATTGTGTCCTGGCCAAAGTCCTCTGGACTCTCCGGAATTACTGTCCAGTTATCAGTAGTCTCCAGTGGGTGACCTTTGTCATACCTGAGATATTCGGTCCCTTGCCAGTTTAGTTTATCATTCCGAATGATATGGCCTGTGCTTCCTCACAAGCAGGCAATGATAAAATACGTTGTTGAAGTAGGACTTTGGGGATTAAGGAAACCATCTGAAAGTGAATAGATGGTGGGTTCCTTAGTTGGTGGCTGGCTTTTAGAGACGTTTTGGGGGTGGCCACTCTGTGCCAGGCATTGCGCATACACTAGAGGTGCAAATAGAGCCCCCAGCCCTCCAGGGAGAGATCACAGAGCAGGGCACCCTGATCTCTCATGTCATAGCAGAGTATTAGCAATTACTCATCCGGGTGAGGCAAGTAAAGTCAGTGACACTTTCAAATAGCCCTGACATGGACACTGGAAGGAGAGAAGATAAGGTTTAACATGAAGTCAAAGCTAGGAAACCCACACCTGTAATCCCAGGTGCTCTAGAGGGTGGGACAGGACGATTGGTAAGACAGGGCCAGCCTGAGTTATATGACAAATCTATTAATAAAGAGCTCACCCTGCCTGAAACTGAGGTAACCAGACTCCACTCATTATTAGGGCAGCTATTCTAAAAAAGATTGTCAGTCAGTCAGTCGGTGGTGGTGTGCACCTTAAATCCCAGCACTGGGAAGGGAGAGCATCGGATCTCTACAGCAAGTTCCAGGACAGTCAGGTCTACACAGAGAAACACTGTTTATAAATAAACACTTGAAATAGAAGGCTGGCCTGGGGTGTGGCTCAGGTAGTGCCTAGCGTGTCTGGAATCCTGGTTGGAGCTCTAGAGGTATATAAACTAGGAATGGTGGTACACGCTTGCAATCCCAGCACTCTGGAAGTGGGCACAAGACCAGAACTCAAGGTCTGGCTCTATGGGTAAGGGTGCTCGAGGCTAAACCTAATCCATGTGAGTTCAATCCCTGAACCTTCCGAAACCGACTCCCACAACTTCTACTTGATCACATGCACCTTTTAGCACATGTGCACACATTCATGCACACTAAATACATTAAATAAATGTAACTTAGAAATTTTTGGAAAAATAGCTAGGTGGTGGTGGTGTACACGCCTTTAATCCCAGCACTTAGGAGGCAGAGGCAGGTGGATCTCTGAGTTTGAGGCCAGCCTGGTCTACAGAGTGAGTTCCAGGACAGCCAGGGCTACACAGAGAAACCGTCTCCCAAAAAAACAAAACACAAAGTTTGTAAAAAATCAAAGTAATTTTTGGTTACCCTAGAAAGTTGCTGGGCTACATAAGACCCTCGCTTTAAAACAAATTGAAAACAGTTACTCAAGTAAATAGTCTTTTATTTTAGTTCTTCATGTGAGTGTTTTGCCATCATAAATGTTTATGAAGTAAATAGTTTTACCCACATGTTCACAGAAGTATCACCAACGGCCAAAAGGTGAAAATGATCGAAGAATCTGAGCAGATGAACCAGTGTGAGGCACACCATGAACTTTCACCATGGGCCTTCAGTAGCCATAAGAAGGAATGAAGCCCATGTTAGCGTCTGCCATGTACCTCAACATGGCATTAAGAAAGCCAGACCCACGGGTTATATATGGTTCCCATGATTCCCTTTACATGAACTAGGAAAATCTAGACAGGACATAGCTTGGTTGTCTTTAGGGACTGAGCAGAGGCAGAGAGGGGTCTGTTGTGTCTGTGGTTTCCTTCTGGGATAAGAATGTTTGGGAAGGGGACAGAACTTTAAAATGTCTTGGGGCCACCGATGGTTCACTTTATAAGATCATTATGTATATGAGTGTTTGGCCTACATGTATGTTTGTGCCACTTGCCTTATGCCCACAGAGACTGGAAATGGGCATTGCTTTCCCTGGAACTGAGTTACATATGGTCTGAGCCACCATGTGGGTGCTGGGAACTCAACCAGGTCCTCTAGAAAGTAGTCAAAGCTCTTAACTGCTGAGCAAACTGGTAGATCTTATGAATGAGTGTGTGTGTGTGTGTGTGTGTGTGTTTGTGTGTAAGAGAGAGAGAGACAGAGACAGAGACAGAGATTTTGACATGGGAAGGGTTTTTTTTTTTGGCTAGGATGGGAGAAGAAAGCTCTGGAATCTTATGCATTAGCTCAGTAGATCCAAGAAGTCTAAATGAGATTACAGCCCCAAGTGAGGAGGGCTCAAAGGGTCAGCTTGGCCTCCACTTTCTCAGGCCAGCTGAGAGGGTACCAGGCTTCAACAAGAAGGAAGAAAACCAAGGAACCCCCCTTTCCTGCAAAGCCGTAAGAACAAGCAAGGCTCCTGCGGAAGATGGGAGGTGACCTGCACTCCCTCAGTTGCCAGGCAAAGCTTTCTTTTAAAAATGAATAGCTCCGGTTATTGGTTATTATGGAATGTGTTTTTAGTTCCCACTCCTGTTAACTTCTCAGATCCTTCACATAAGCCCCTTTCCTGCTTCTATTTAAGGAAAGTTATTGGCTTTTGTGCAACATGAAAGAACAGGCTCACTCCCCTGCTGCCCCACCCACCCCCGCCAGCATGGTCCTACCCAGGGGCTAGACCAGCTGCTCTGGTCCAGCTTTCTGGAAACCTTTTTGCTTGGGCCTCTTGCAGAGACCAATGTTCCCAGTTGATTGTAAAACGTAATAATTGCATTCCTACGGTGCACATATTACTGTTTAAATTGCTGTCTCCTGGGCACTGGGGAAAAGAAAAAACCTAAGTTGGTGGGGTTCCACAAGGAGGCTGGATAGCTGTTATCTTCTTTATGTTCCATGCCTCAGCCCCCTCAGCAACCTTGGGAAGATGGGGTTGTGCCCCCTTTGTAGTGAGGGAGACTGGAAGTTGAAGAGATTGAGGCTGCACAGTCAGACAGCTGGGAGGGAGAGGGAGGGAGGCCGGCCTGGCCCCCTCCTCTGCAGATCTGTGGGCGAGAAGGATGGAACATGCCTCAGAACTTAGCTGAAAATCATAGCCTGCCCTTGCAGGCACCCTTGAGAGGCACGGGAGAAGTGTGGTAAGAAAAAGAACTAAGCCGTGTTAATCAGGAAGCTAAGAGACTGTTGAAGGTAAAACGGCAAGCGTGGGATAAGTCAGGTAGGAGGTCAGGGTCAACCTGGGCTACACAGTGAGTGGCACCCTAAAAAGAAAAATGAGCATTGAGGGTGGAGCTAGCTGGTAGAACATGTGCTTAGCATGTACCAAGACCTAGGTTTGGCCATGCCACCAAAAAGTGGGGTGGGGGGAGTAGGAAAAATGTCCTCTTTAAAGTAGAGGCCAAGAGCTGGTCTACCAGACATAATGAGCCTCATGGCTGTCCAACAGCCTGTGACTCTAGGCGTGGCTTCCCCGCACTGTCTCCCTTTCTTCTATACCATCTGATAATGAGGGCAGAGGCACACACCTTTAATCTCAGGAGGCAGAGGCAGGTGGATCTCTGAGTTCAAGGCCAGCCAGGGCTACATATACACAGACCTTGTCTTGGCAGGGGTTAGGAAGGACAAAAATCTAACAAGTCAACCAAACAAGCAAAGAAGAGGCTGGGTTGGGGGAAGTATGGCCCTTAACACACCTGTGTTACCGACATACATAGCAGGTAGTATCCAGTCAATAAATTAGTCCATGTGGATGATCAGGTACCAGGGCATCTGGTTGAGGCCCTAGAGTTTGGGCTTCCATCCTTTGAGGGGGTGGGTTCTCATGCACTCAGATCCGTAGCTGACCACCAACCACCTCAGGTTGGCACCAGACCTGAGAGCAGCCCAATAGAAGGATTGATCTTTGTGAACAGATCGTGATATCTGTGGAGAGATGGTTTCCTCTTCTAAATCAGAGGGACAAGGAGTCCCCAGCACCACTGTGGACTGGAGCCAATGTCCTCTACAGTCCTGAACTAAAATCATCAGAGCTGGTCCTTCATGGCTGTATGCAGCTCCGGAGGCCATCTTCCTTTCTTTCAAAGCCAGTAATGGACCACCACCATCTTCTCCCTGACTCTCCCTGCATCCCTCTGACTAGGATACTTACCCAGGTACAGCCACTTTTTGCCTAGTATGCTGGAGGCCCCAGGGACCCTCCCATCTCAAGAGCTGACTCATACTGCCAAAGTCCTTAACATTCAGGAAAATAACAGTCACGGGCTCTGAAGGTAAGGTGTGAATCTGGTGAGCTAGCCTGGCACTAAATCTAGTGGGAGTCCCTTGAAGTCAAGAGCTTCTTTGGTCTCTTCTCAAAGCTGTGTTGATAGGGTTGCAGTTAATGAGCTATCCAGCAGACTTCCCCCAGATTGTGAAGGACCAGTGTTAGCTGCCATTGCTTCCCAGGGACATGGTGTTTGTTTCAAACATGTAAAATTCTCCCAACTCTTTTAAACATCCCCCCCTTTTTCTCTCTCATTGAAAGAGTAAAACAAATTGAACTCTACTGTTGCATTGTTGTGTTTTAAGTAATAATTGGCATTATTCATAAAACTCCCTCTTTTTTCTTCCTCCTCCTTGAGAAATGGGTAGAATGGTGTTGAGAAGATATAAATGTACCAGTTTCTTTCAAAGCTTGTCATGACCTAGTAAGGAATTCAGGGAAAGAGTCTCTACAGGTTGGAGGTATCTACAGGTGTGAGACTCTGACATCCATGCTGTGGAAAACTCCAGACAGAACTGAGAAGCAGTAAGTCTGTATGGTCTTTAGAAACCTTTTCTAGCCAGGTGTTGTGACTTACACCTATAATCCCAGCAGCGAGCAACCTGAAGCAGGAGGATAGACACGAATTGAAAGCCAACCTGGGTTACATGTTCCATGGTATGTTCCATGCCAGTTCAGCCACTGGGTGAGATCCTTCCTCAAAAATAATAAATAAATGAATAAATAGATATTAGAGGGAAAAAAGTTTCCTGAGAAATAATATGTCAGACTGCTTATATTGCTACCACAAACCTAAGTTACTCTGTAGCAGAGAGAAGTCCTTATTCTCTGGAGAGCTGACTCTGGGCACTAGCCCTGCCTGTAGCATGTGCTAGCACTATTCCCAGTCCTTCCCTTAAAAACTCATCCATCCTCTTTACCACAGGAAAAGGTTACTACATATTCCCATTTTACAGACAAGGAAACTGAGGCCAAGGAGCATTCAGGAAGGTATGGGACTGGAATTCACTCCTGGCTGTGAGCACATGGTCACTTACAGACTGCCTTCATTAGACAGAGAAGTGTAACATGGGGTGAAGGCCTCAGGCTCTGAAGCCAGATTTCTTTGGGGAGGATTCAGCTCTGTGCCATACTGCTGGTCCCTTAGGATGCAGCAATCACCTGAGTTAGGCCAGCTTGCTTCATGCAAAGGAAAGACAGAAGAATTATGGGATATAAAAATATGGATGCCCTGAATGGGGAGCTGAATGCATGACTCTGAGCTGAAGAGTTACTAGCATCTAAGAAACTTTCCAAGTCTGAGGTGTTCTAAGCAGATATCAGAAAATGACCCAGGGTTGAGTAACAAAGACCTCAATGATTTCAAACGTTGCAAGAAGATAAAACCAACAGTGTTTAGGAGGAGTACCCTGTGAAGTAGGAGAGAACCAGGAGATGCTGGGGTTAAGTGATCACAGAGTGAGCCACTGCAAGACTTTTGGGAGGGAAAGGACAGAGCCCTCTGTGAATCAGGCAACATGGAGGCATCCTTGATCAAGCAGTCCCTGGATGGGTGTGGGGAGCACCCAGTACGCCAGGGAAGAAGTGTGGATTGCAGTCAGTGTCTGGTAGCTTTTTCACTTGGAGAATAGAGACACTGGGCAAGAAATAGTGTCAAGATACAGGCTAAGGGATGGACTGACAGAGGAGAAGGATGCTACCAGAGAAGAGAAAGCAAGGAATAATGGAGAAGAACAACTGTGGGGAAGACCAGACAGAGAAAACAGGCTGATTCCCCTTGGTTACACTTCTGGTGTGTGTAAGGGGAGGGATGCCAGGAGCCAGTGTGCTGGCCTTGGAGGCAATGGGCAAAGATGATCAAAATTTCCAAGGATATATAATTCAAGCAATAAAGACCATAGGCTCCGAGGTTGGGGCTGTGTCCAAAAGAGAGATCAGAATTCCTGGGCAAGTGGGCTGGCTTCACCAGATAGCACTGGATATCATGGTGCGTCTTGTGATTGGGATCGGAGATCTTCCGGTGGAACCAGGCTGTATATTTTATATTCAGAAAAATCACAGGGCTGAAAGCTTAGAGGTGTGAGAAAAGGTTCCGGTTGGCTACATGGATGTCAAAGTCACCAAGAATGACAACAGAATTTGGAGGTGGGACGAGGAATACTGGGGATCACAGTTCAGTAGACATTGGCCGTTAGTGGTCTCAAAGTTTTGATGTGATTCTATTTGATTTCCTGGAAATGTCCCCTCTCTCGGCAGCACCCTCACCAAGGAGGAACAGGAGGCAGAAAACACAGCCTGGTCCTTACCCTTAACAAATGTCAGTTTGTTCTGGAAACATAAAAAGACTTCCGGGTTACAAAAGTGTTGGTCAAGCCGGGGTGGTGGTGGCGAATGCCTTTAATCCCAGCACTTGGGAGGCAGAGGCAGAAGGATTTCTGAGTTCGAGGCCAGCCTGGTCTACAGAATGAGTTCCAGGACAGCCAGGGCTACACAGAGAAACCCTGTCTCGAAAAACAAAAAAGAAAAAGAAAAAAAAAAAAGAAAAGAAAACAAAAGTGTGGGTCAGACCAGAGTAGGGACTAGGTACATAGGAAGGACCAGCTGGGCTGTCTGACAACATGCCTGAAGGAAAATTCAACCCGGCCTATGATGGCCCTGACAGTGGGGTCAGTCTTAGTTTAAAACAACAAAGGCGTTTTAGTTCTGGAACTGTCAGCCTCCATTCTGTTTTTAAGAAGTCTTGCAAATTATCTGGAAACGGACTGTGCAAGGAGAACACCTGTAGTGAGCAGGGGTCGGGACCTGAGTCGCTACAGGTGTGAAGACACTGGGCCTAGATAGTTTACTGGATACACAAGGGTAAATGATCCTCTGTACGCCTCACGATGACCCATGGAAGAATGAACAGGTTGCCTCACCTAACTTTTGCTTTTCTCTTCCTAAAAATAGAATTTCGGGAAGGCCATCAGCAAAGGATGCCGGTACATTGTCATTGGCCTGCAAGGATTTGCCGCAGCGTATTCTGCCCCATTTGGAGTGGCCACCAGTGTGGTGTCCTTCGTGCGCTAATCAGAGCTTCAGGGGCAGGTGACTCCAGAATGCTTCTGCCCAGGGGACAGTGTGAATCCTCCAGCACTTCAGACTCGGACTTGTGGGAACTCGGAAGAGGAACCCTGCTTCGTGTGCTATTGTTGAACTGGTTGGCTGTGAGGCAGGAGCTGGCCCCCCTGCTCATCCGCTGAGCCACTGTTGGACTTGTGTGGATCCAGGAGTCAGTTCTGCAGAAAATTAGGCCAAGGTTGGGATTAGGATTAGTTTGCTTCCTGTGCTAGTTATAGCCTTACGGGGATACATGCAGGCAGGCCCATGGCAAATCTGGGGTCCGACTCATGCGGGTAGTGGGTGGATTTTAGGGAGGAGGACACAGACCTCTAATGTAATGGTTGCTAGTTTCTGAAAAGGTTGAGGGGCTGACGGCACTAGCTGTGGCCTTCCTTGATTCTTTCACTGAAAACAGCGAGGGAGCTGTTTGTTTCAGAAGTCTATCTCCCCCATCTCTTTTCTCCACCAAGACTGTCATCTGGGAGTTTAATTACGGGTTTGGGAAGAAAGAAAAGGAAGAAAACCATCTTTAAAGACCATGATGCTTTGTAACCCGTGTTCACAGCTGTGTGGTGACAATTGAAGGAAGATCGAAGTGTATCATTTTCACCCATCTACATAAGCATGCACCTGGCAATGAGGGAGGGAGGTCAGGGTCAGAAGCAAACTGGGAGGCTGCAACAGGTGCTCTCAGGGCTGGAACCTGGGCCAGCGTGGTCTGGGCCAGCTGTTGTGTTCTGAGCTGTCAGGACTCCTGCAGATGTGGCTAGCCACACCAGTTCACTGTAATAGGTGTCTAAGGCCCCCATTTGATTGAGGAGGGAGAGAGAGAGAGAGAGAGAGAGAGAGAGAGAGAGAGAGAGAGAGAGAGAGGGAGAGGGAGAGGGAGAGGGAGAGGGAGAGGGAGAGGGAGAGGGAGAGGGAGAGAGAGAGAGAGACCCTGAATGAGAACTGACATGTATATTTAGAGGAGGGACCAGTAAGTAAGAGGTAGGCATGAAGAAAGAAAAAAGCAAAGGCCAAGAATGACATTGGAAAAGCAATGGAGGTTGGGAATTAGACAGGCTTGCGATGGAAATTTTCTCGGGAGGGCTGAGCTAGTTGTATGTAGGAGCAGAGGAAGCCAGGGGACCAGAGTCACCATGGCGGTTGAGTTCACGTCTCTTAGGTCTACATCTCACTTGGATTCAAAGATTAGTGAAGGCAAGAGTCCCAGGCTTGGCACACACCAAGGATGGTTCATGGACTACCATGGAATGCTGGGAGGAAGTGGAGAAGAAACCCTTAAAGTTGTAAGTTGTACTGGCGTGTGTCACAACTGTTTTTAAAGTATCTCACAGAGAGGTTCCTCTTGCCATGACCATTGGCCAACCTCAACAGCAGGCCAGGATTTCAACTTTGCTTCTAGAATATTCAAAATCCAGAGAAGGTTTTTGGGACCACTCCGCAGGATCCATGTCAGTCTGCTGGCCTGAGGCTTCCTGGGGCACACAAAGCCATGATATTCATACCTCACCTACTGAGTCCAGCCATTAGGTACTGGTGGGTGGGTAAGCTGGGAAGATGGACAGAGAAGTTGCTCATTTAGACCCAGACCCGTTCTGGAAGGTCCTGCTGAATATGCCCAGTCCCTAGAGCTGCGGGTTCACACTTGTGACAGAGTGATGCTTGCTGGATAGCGCTAGAATGGGAGATGGACGGGAAACAGGAGGAAAGGCCACATACAGTTAGCTGGAAAGAGGCAGAAAGGGAGGCTTTCCAGGTCCTACGCTGCTGAGCCCCAGGGTGGGGAGAAGTGTGATCCAGGGAAGGGATGAGCAGTCAACGTTGCTTCCTTCCCTGGGAGTCTCTTCCTCCCCACCTCCCAAATTGTAAAAGCAACAAAGTAAAGCACATCTGGCCCAGTGTCTCCCAAAGTCTGGCTAAGAATTAACTCAAAATGTTCAAAGTCAAAAGCTTTCAGGGGCTGTCCTGGGACTCTGCCAGGTTTGCTCCAAGGTGGACTTCAGCCCCTGGAGCGTGCTGTGTGGTCACATCCCCTATGTGGGACTCTTGGTTCTGTGAGCCTGGTTCTTCCAGCCTGAAAATTTGGTTCCTGCTGCAGACTGCTTTGTTTTTTTGCTTTTCTGGTTATCCTCTTGGGTCCAGCAGCAGGGCCCACACCTCAGTGCAACTGAGTCTAAGAGCTTTGCTTTCCCATTACTGGCTTCCAAAACCCTTCCTCTGTATCCCTCCCTTGCCTTTGGTGTAAATAAAAGTCCCAGAGTGTCTGATTTTCCTGTGTGGAGGGCTGCTGTGCTTTCCCCTGTTCTGTCTCCTAAGGGAGATAGCCGGGGCTCTGGCAGGACCTGGGAATGTGGTATAGTGGGCGGTGGCTCCTCCAACCCCACCCCCACACCTGCTACATTCTCTAGAACCCCTCAGAACAGGCTCTAGGGTGGGGTGAGGAGGGACAGCCTCCCTCCCGTCTGTTACAAATGAAAAATTTCCAGAACCTTTGACTTGGTTGGGCAATGCCTCTGGGGCTCCAGGGAGGGAGGCTGGGACAGCAGAGTGGGCCCTGGGTGTCAGTCCACGCTGGCATAGTGGCGCACACCTCTGCTCACTGTATTCTCACAGAAGCAATGGCAGAGGTGAAGCAGACACTAGGTCCTGGGTAGCCATCAGATTATCTGGCAAGTTTGTGGTAACAACTTTCTGCCTGGCGGGGATGGGGAAGATCTGTGGCAGAGCTCTTACCATGGAAACCCTAGGTTCTATCTCCAGGGGAAAAAGATTTAGAACATGATTCTCACTGGGGTTGGACATGGCAGTACACAGCTATTGTCTCAGCACAGTAGTGGCAAGGTGATGGACTGAGTCCTCTGCTCCCTTGGAACGCTCCTCCCCCACCCCCACGCTTTTTCTCTGCCCAGTACTTGTGTCTGCTCAGAGAAGTATCAAATGGCATCTGTGACCCAGAAATAGGACTTGAACTCAGACCCTGACTCTCAGAGATCACTGTGGCCACAGAACCATGTCTCAATAGTCCGTTAGGCTGGTGGTTCTCAATCTTCTTAATGCTGTCACCCTTTAATACAGTTCCTCATGCTGTGGTGACCCCCAATTATAAAATTTTCATTGTGACTTCATAACTATAGCTTTGCTACTGCTATGGATCTTAATGTAATATAAATATCTGTGTTTTCCAGGGGGTCTTAGGCAACCCCTGTGAGAAGGTCTCTTGACCCCACCCCAAGGAGGCACAACCCACAGGTTGAGAACCCCCCCCACAGCCCCCCATCCCCACACTAGGCAGTCCCAGTTCAGAGTTTAGAGAAATGAAGGCAGCCAACAGTATCTGGAGCTTGAACAGAGCTTCTTGGGAAGTTTATTTTGTGATAAAATGGAGATGTAGGTCAGGTTTAAGGTGTCAGGGTTGGGAAGGATACCTTCAGTATCCCATCAAGGCTGTATTTCAGAGGTTCCTTGTTTTGTTGTTGTTTGTTTGTTTGTTTGTTTCCCTAAAGCCAAAATGGTTCCTGATTTTGGGGGGGGGGAGTCTCTAGGTCCCTTAATAATTTTTAGAAAAATGTGGAGAAATAAGTACTGGATTTTGTTTTTAAATTTGGAGGCAAAGTTGTTCTTGAGCCAAATCACTCCAGTGCACCATCCCAGCCAAAGGGAAAGTAGATCTTAAGATCTCTCCAGGGCCCAGGGCCAAACCCTGGCAGGAACACTAGCCATGCAGGGCACAGGGGAGCAGGGCAGGAGAACAAAGGCTTGTTGGTTGGGCCTGTGTTAAACCTGAGCCCCTGGGGGGCTTTAAGCTCCAACCTTTGCCTCCAGCTCCAGAGGGAGCCCATTCTGCACCTCGAGGACTGACTTGGCTTCTTAAAACAGTGTTTCTTGGGCGAGTTCCTCTTCTGTCCCTGGTAACAGGGCTCAACACAGACGTACCTTGTTCAAAGCAGTCGTAGCCAAGATGGGGTGTTCCTCAGCATGAGAATGCTTGATGTGTGCAAGGCCTTGGGTTCGGACCCCAGGAGTTCGATAAGTATGTAAGTGAACAGATAAGTAGATTATTAATTCAATAAACATCAGAGCCAAAGGACTGGGCAGAAATTGAGTTGAAGGGCCACACCTCCTTCACTGGCTCTGCAAAGCCAGGGTGAATAGTTTCTGCCTGGAACTTACTCTCTTACTCATAATTGAGAGTTATTTTTGCTTTTGGCTTGTTCCTGGAGACGTTTGGAGTTGTTGCAAAGACAAACTTCAGTGAGAGAATGTGGGCAGATGACAGGGTGGGAGGGGACCAGTAGAGGACAGGAGTGGCCAGAGCAGGGAGCGCACTACAAGCCATGCTTTCATCCCAGCTCAGGAGGCAGAGGCAGGAGGATCTCTGTAAGTTACAGGTCAGTCTATTCTACATGAGTTCCAGGACAGCCAGGACTACATAGAGAAACCCTGTCTGGAGAAAGAAAGCACTATGTTCATGTATAAAATTGACAAACTTCATTGAAAAAACAAAATGAAGAAAACAAAACAAGCCAGTGGTGAGATTACCTCATTTATTTTAAACAGGAAATTATCTATTAAAGAAACATGTTTCTGAATGTGTCGTTTTAACTGCTTGATGAGAAGAAAGAGACAACTAAGTTAATCAGAAACTTTTCCATAACTCTTACTCTTTTAAACAAAATCTTGCTTGAATGTGTCTCCTGGTGTTTTCATATACCTGGGTCACAGATCTGGGCACAGGGATCAGAGAAGAGAGCTATTTCTTTTCATTTCTTCTAAGGCTCCTGATGCCTCCAGAGACCTGGAGGAAGAGGGGTTTCTTGGTTTTATTCATTTCATTTTTTGAGACAGGGTCTCACAACCTCAAGGTAAGAAGCCATTCACCTGCCTCTCATTCTCAGTAACCACATCTGAGGCTTATAGAAGGTAGAGGAGGAGGAGGAGGAGGAGGAGGAGGAGGAGGAGGAGGAGGAGGAAGAAAGGAAGGAGGGGAGAGAGAGGGAGGGAGGGAGAGAGACAGAGAGAGAAGAAGAAGGAGAAGGAGAAGGAGAAGGAGAAGGAGAAGGAGAAGGAGAAGAAGACGAAGAAGAAGGAAGAAGAAGAAGAAAAGGAAAACTTGAGAGATGTTATGGAAGAGCCCTTCCAAGGCTGCAACACTGTGTCCGGGTGCCTTGCTCAGGTTTTGCTTGTTTTTTGTTTCTTTTTGTTTTTGTAACAAAATGTCCAAGGAAACAAGCCGCAGGAGTCAAGGCTGGTTTTGGCTCCAGAGGTCTCAGTCTAGAGCTCTGAGAGTTTCAGGTCTGTATCAAGATAGAAACACAGAAGGCCATGGCAGAGAAAAGCCACGAAGGTACCCAAAAAGCTGAGAGAAGAGACCGGGCAGGGTCAAGTCACACCCTTCTGGGACCCTACCTACGACTCCCCAAGACCTCCATTGATACCGTCAAACTATATCCATCGTGGTTCAGCCCCCAGTGAAGCCAGTCCTCAGAATCCACCATTCCCAGAGTTCCACCTCTCAACACTCGTACACCGGGAGCTGTCCCTTACGGGAACACACACACACACACACACACACACACAT